CATATTATCTCTCTGCAACTACCATTGGGAATAAAAATTGATTATATGGTGTTCTGTGTATTGCAGGAGTCGTGAGTTTCTTTGGCAAGAAGGGCATACTGCTTTTGCTACAAAGGAGGAGGCAGATGCTGAGGTACCTTTTATTTGGTAGATGTAGTTGCCATTATTTATCCTTCAGCTAAAACAAAGATGAATATCCTGCTGGTTAGTTTTCTTAAAGAAATGAATGTCTTTGGAAAATGCTGAAGTTTGTTCTCTTGGTTCTGCTGCAAATTTAAGAGCATACATGTCTGTCACCTTTAAGGTTCTGTTGTCTTTGTTGTGTGTTTGTAGTGTATTCTCTCTCTCTCTCTCTTTCCTATACAGTTCGGAAATCATCTAGGCACACTTTATTGCTACTTCGGGTTCAGAACCTGCTGTCCCTGGTGTAATGAAGTCTTGAATACTGCTGCATGTACATCAAATATCAGCAGTCTTATTACCTGTAAATATGTAGTGGAAATTGGGTTGAATAAGTATGTTTTATAAGAACTTGATTAACTTGTCTCTATTGAATGGAAGGAAGTAATTGTTAAGCCTATTTCAACTTCTTTGGGCCATTATACTATCCAAAATTCAAGTTACTCTTTATATCATTCTGTTTTTTTGTGCTATCTTCCATATTACATGTCATAGTTGAACTGAATGCTGCTTTGATGAGAGTTGAAAGTATACAAATAACAAAAAGCAAAGGTAGGAAGCATTTTGGCCCTGCATATTGGTGTTGTATTGATATTTAAGAAAGAGCAGGAACACTAGAGGCGCTATCTTTTTCTGTGATTAATGTTTTTTTATTCATCAGTTTGATGTTATTCCGTGCAGACACAAAAGAAATGTAAGATACTCAAAATAGGACTGGAAAGAATCATGCTGATGCTTGTGCAGTTATTAACGTAGTCTAGATGGTATCCACTTGCAAAGAATAGCCATTTTTTTTCCATGCTCACACTAATCTTTTAACTAAAATTTTCAGGTTCTAGATATATTAGAGCTCTATAGACGTATATATGAAGAGTTCTTGGCTGTTCCCGTTATAAAGGGGAAGAAAAGTGAGCTGGAGAAATTTGCTGGTGGACTGTATACTACAACTGTTGAGGTACTGGATTTGCAAATGTACTCTAATGAACGAACTTCTTTGAATTTACTGTAATCAACAGTTGTTTGTCAGTGCTTTGTACAAAACTGATTTGGTAAATCTTTACTAGGCTTTTATTCCAAATACTGGCCGAGGTATTCAAGGAGCAACATCCCACTGCTTGGGACAAAATTTTGCGAAAATGTTTGAGATTAACTTTGAAAATGAGAAGGGGGAAAAGGCTATGGTCTGGCAGAATTCCTGGGCGTACACCACCCGAACAGTAATATACCTTTATCTTAATAATGGACTTGTCTTGTTAGAGTTGGTATAAATTTCTGTATTTTACATTCTCTATGCCATGTGATAGATTGGGGTGATGATAATGGTTCATGGCGATGATAAAGGCCTGGTGCTGCCTCCAAAAGTTGCAGCAACCCAAGTAATTGTAATTCCAGTGCCCTACAAGGATGCTGATACTCAAGGGATCTTAGATGCATGTGCCGCAACAGTGAAAACATTGTCTGAATCAGGTATTCGTGCTGAAGCAGACTTCAGAGACAATTATTCTCCAGGCTGGAAGTATTCACATTGGGAGATGAAGGGCATCCCTCTCAGGATTGAAATAGGGCCAAAGGACCTTGCTAATAAGCAGGTAAACAGAATTGGAACTATGCTTGTTCTTTTGCATTTTTGGGTTTGCATTGTTCTCTATGCTTCCCAGGATGAAGTGAAAAAGATTTATTTTTTTTCGTTGGCTTGAAGTGGCAAGGTGAAGGCACATATTTTAGATGGTATATTAATCACTGTTTCACTACCTCATTCTTAGGTGCGTGTTGTACGCCGGGATAATTCGGCTAAATCTGATATCCCCATGGATAGCTTGGTTGAAAAGGTAAGAGAAGTGCTGGATGAAATCCAGCAAAGCCTGTTCAGTGTTGCGAAACAAAAGAAAGAAACGTGCATCAAGGTTGTAAAAACTTGGGAGGAGTTCCTTGAAGCTCTGAGCCAAAAGAAACTGATTTTGGCTCCATGGTGCGATGAAGAGGCATGTCATTTGTTTCTCTCCTAATTTGAACAGCACGACTACTTTTTCACGGATTTCATGCCTGCTCTTTGCAATGTTGACATTATTGTTCCTTTTGCAGGAGGTGGAGAAGTCTGTTAAAGAACGGACGAAAGGGGAAATGGGAGCGGTCAAGACCCTCTGCTCTCCATTTGACCAGCCAGAGTTGCCAGAAGGGACTTTGTGCTTTGCCTCGGGAAAACCAGCCAAGAAGTGGAGTTACTGGGGGCGCAGCTATTAGACTACACTTTTTACCTCTATTCAAACTTGTTTGTGGGGATTTGAAAACCCCTTGAGAGATTGTTAGAAATTATCAGGACGAATCTATACAAACTTTGATCCCATTTGCTTTGTGCAATTGTTTTGAAATCTTTAATACTAGTGGCACATTGATCCACTACTTTCAGGGACTAGACAAATAGTAATGTATTGATGTTGTAGTTGACCAGAGTTGAAAGCTATTTCTCGGCAGTACCATTTTTGTCTTCTTCCAAGTGTCATTGTCTTGGCTCGTGGATTTATTAAAGTTTCCCTTGGCACTTCAAAAAAATTAGTTGGTATTTGCAGGTGCCACGTTGGTTAATGTAGATAGAGTTATGACATTTTTCATAAAAGTTTTGAACATGTTTGGTTGATTATGACTTGATGGGTGATTGGTTTTTCCTGTATAGTACTTCTTCTTTGACAAAATTCATGCCAATTTTCCATTTGTGGAACATAAAATGGACATCATGCCTTGTTGAGGTATTTCTTGGTCATTGGTCATTGGAAATTTGAACTTGTTTTCTGGGACTACAGTCAATAGTTCTGAACAACAAACTCAATGAAAAAAAAAAAAAAAAAACACAAGAATATGAGCCTAAAAATAATAATACTTTCATTTGTATCTCTACAAGAAACTATGTGCTGCCAAATTCCGGAATTATTTTTAATGATTTATCTTCTAAACTCTCGAATTGTGTAGGGTTAATAAATAAACAAGGGTTTAATTAGGGTATTTAATAATCAGCAACAATGAGTTTATTCATTAAAGTTACTGCATCGTGAATGTTTTTGTGGTAGATTTATTAATAGCACCTTGCTTTAAAACAAAGCTAAAATTGCTATACTCAGCGGTCAACTTGAGGAGTAGACCTTCTTGTGAAACAAGCGGTAAAAGAAGCATCTTTGGCATATACTATGGCATATTTAAAGTAAGCCCTGCCTGCCTAAATAATTGAGTAGATACCCTTTTGGGTGAAAAAAAAAATGCCTTTAATCTTAATTATTTAACAAACTGATGTGGTTTAGGGGACATGAATTAATATGTATCTTTTCCTTTTGATAATTTTAATGAAAAGTCAACAAAAAGAAGTGGCCAATACATGTAAAGGCATTATTGTATTTTTATAAACAAAGAGTGGCATGGGAAATGATGTAGGTTCCTATTTTTATTTGGAGGAATGGCCTAATCTAAATTAGCTGACATATTTGCCCTCACTAATTACTAGAATTAGGAAAAACTAAAAATGAGGTTATTAAAAACAAGGATAGAACCATTACCGTCTAAAATGCAAAGACATGATTATTTTTCCTCTTTCTTTTTGTTAATTTTCTTGCCTGCCCTTTCATTTTTTAAAAGAAAATTCGATTCGTTTATCATCTTTCAAATATAATTATAAGTCGAATTATTAATATTCGAGGCAAATTCATTATATCTAAAATAATAATTATAAATCGATAAGTTTACCATTGATTTCAAATTCTCTCCAAATCCCTGTCTTCATACTTCATTGCTAATATGGTGGGAGCCTCTAGCCCTCTACCATGAATAATTGCCTGCACAAAACATTTGCTAATCCCCTCCATCCTATAGAGGACCTGTCTGTTAAATAATCGTATATTTCAGGGATTCAACTATAATTTCCAGAACTTTAGGGCCTTGTCACCATAAAAAGAAACAAATCAAAAAAGCCCCACCTAAACGTCACGTTTTCTGCCGCCTCGGCGACTCTTCTTTCTCTTCCTTGCCTCCCATTTCCATAAATAAAAATCAACTAACCGCTCCCCAAACCAGCCTCCTTTCTCTATATATACACGAATCAAATCCAGCCATCTTACTGGTTTTCCTGCTTCTACAAACAGTTTTTTCTCTCTATATTTCTTTGTTTTTATATTTTCAATTTTTTCGATAACCCAAGTGGTTTTTATATTTATTTGTTTTGAAATTTATATAGATCTGGTTCTGGTTGTGATCTATTGTTGCTGCAGCAGTAGCGGATTTATTAACTTCTGGGATTTTTATTTGGTTTTTTCTTTCTTTTGGGTAGTGTTGAGTGATTGAATCGATAGAAAAGAGGAAGAAAAGAAATGGGTAGCTCAGGATTTTCATGGAAATTGAACGATCACCCGAAGCTTCCCAAAGGGAAGGTTATTGCAATGGTGGTTTTGGATGGATGGGGTGAAGCCAATCCCAATCAATACAATTGTATCCATGTTGCCGAAACTCCTGTCATGGATTCCCTCAAGAATGTAATAGTTGAGCTTTTTTGTGATTTTTTTTTTGTATCATTTTTGTTATGCTGCTGAAACTTTGGGTTTGCTGTTTTTTTTTTTTCCTTTTTTTTCGCTTTGTTGGTTTTGGGTTGAAAAGGGTGCTCCTGAGAAGTGGAGATTGGTGAAGGCTCACGGGAAAGCTGTGGGGCTGCCCACGGATGATGATATGGGGAATAGCGAGGTTGGTCATAACGCCCTTGGTGCTGGCAGGATCTATGCTCAAGGGTAAGATCTATGTTTTTTCTTTTTTTCTCCAAATATTTCTTTTTTTATGACAAATGATTATGTCTCCATGTTTCGTTTCTTGTTGGTTTGTTTAACATTTTCCCTTATCGAAGACTGAGAAAACTTTGAAGTTTTTTATTTTTTATTTTTTGGTTGTGGGATGCATTTTTTTCCCCGTTGTGTACTACTTATGTAAATGAAAGCTGCATGGTCTTTATCATTGAATTGTGTTTAAGCAGTGTGCAGTTTGCCTGTAAATTTTTTTAAAAATATTTTTATGTTTTATCTTTTGCTTTTGGGATTAAAATAAATTATGGTAACTGTTTTGTCTATAGGAAAATCTATACGAGTGTGCTCTTGAGTGGTGACTTACCTAGTTGATCATTTGGGAATTGATGTTTAGTGTCATTTATTAAATTTAGTTCAATTAGTTGACCATCTAGTATTTGTTACTTATTGATTGTAATAAGTGCAATTATAATGAACCAAATTGACCATTTAGAATAATTTTTGAAATTTTTTATTAGGACATAGTAAGAGTTGACTTTTATTTTGATCAAGGAAAAGCAGAAGTCCAGTTTATTTTAATAAAATGTAACCAATGTAGTCAAAGTGTATTTTAATTTATTGAGCTTTCATTAAAAGCAAGGTCTAAACAGCTAACAAACTGCTGTCTTGTATTTTGAATTTTTATTTTTACATAATTCTTCTATGTTTTTCTCTGACTACTACCTTATAAGTAGATTAGCATCTTCTTGTGTTAGTTGCTAACTGGTACCAATAAATATTGATCGGACATTGTAGAATTCTTTTTTTACTTTGATCTACCAAGCGAATCATTACCAGCAGTTTTTCTCTTTTGTTTTTTGTGTCACTTACATAATGCATTAAACGAGTTTCCTTTTTAGGTCAGGAATGCAATGCCATATGAATCTGCCATCATAGTCTCTTTCTCTATAGCTTGCTTTCTTAAGCAATCTCTTGGTTTCCTAATGAGACTTTTCTAATTTATATAGTGATTTGGTGGTGATATGAGTGATTTTATCGAGGTTGAATGTACTAATAGAGCAGACTATTTTTGAATGATGAACTATTTTGTAGCACTAGTTTGCCTCCAATGACTGTTCTCGTTGTTGTTCGAAACTATCAGCATTACTTTGTTCACTACCATTATCTCATCTTGGAGTTCTAAATTTATCCCTTTAACGAGTCTTTAACGTTCAACACTCACATTTTCTAACTAGAGCTGGACATGATTTAAATTTCTTGGCATTTGGACAGAGCAAAACTTGTTGATTTAGCTCTTGAGTCTGGAAAGATATATGATGATGAAGGTTTCAAATATATCAAGGAATCTTTTGAAACTGGAACATTACACCTCATAGGGCTGTTGAGTGATGGCGGTGTCCACTCTAGGCTTGACCAGTTACAGGTATATTTTGTGGATTTTGAGATTCATTTACCTTTCTGTCTCTGAGTTTCTCTTTTCGATGAATTAGCCTCATAAATGAGTTTATACTTTAGCTACACTTTAGCTGACCTAAGCAGAATAAATCACTGTTGGTGTTACTTTTATGGTACAGCTTGTGCTTAAAGGTGCCAGTGAGCGTGGTGCCAAAAGAATTCGGGTCCATGCTCTTACTGATGGACGTGATGTCTTGGATGGTTCAAGTGTAGGCTTTATGGAAACTCTTGAGAATGATCTTGCTAAATTGCGAGAGAAAGGTATTGATGCACAGGTTGCATCTGGTGGCGGGCGAATGTATGTCACAATGGATCGTTATGAGGTAAAGTATAGGTGTTTGCCTTTTGTGTGCACACATTTCTATTTTCTTGAGATGTTGTGTGTTGTAATTACTTTCATGTGCGCATTTTTTTTTATTACGGCATAGGTGATTATATTGTGTCAATATTTGATTCTCTTTGGAGGCTGCTGTCAATTTAAATTCTGGATTCTTGCTTTGCCTTATTTTAAAACTTCTTTTCTGCTAATAACTAGTGAACTTTGCTGGTCAACTGAAGGATCAATTCTTTTGAAAGTGTGGTTGTTGCATCTTACATTATGTTTGCGTGCTGCTATACTATTTTATTTTAGCTGTTTGTGGTGACTGTTTTTGGTATTATTGATGCTTTGTCCTTTTATAAGTTGCCTTACATTTTTCTCATTGGACTCGACTTCTACTTTTTTTTTTCCCATCTTGAAGCCCTTTTGTCAAATGTAGTAGACCAGTTTCATGAGGACTTCTTGATGTGTATACACTAATGCACATGTTCACAAAAATGTGCAAACAATGCTCGTGCTAGTATGGTTATTCTATCGTGGTAGGGAGTTGGGCTTATATTCAAGTTAACCCCCCAAAAAAAAAATGCAAACAATGGATCCTCAAAATGTTGATGATGTGCTTGTACATTGTTTAGGAGTTGGATGTGGTTCCTAACTGATTTTGTTGGATGACATGATTTTTGGTCTAAAAGTTGATCCAATGTTTCTGAAGTTCGACACTGACTAAATAATGTTTCTTTTACTTTTGTTACTTCACAACTACTGTAATAGGTGCTAGCCACATTTTTTATATGGTAGGTGAGGGTATGTAATTCTTCCTTCCTAGTTTTGTAGATGCACTTACTATACTTGGTACTAACTCTTTGCAGAATGATTGGGATGTTGTTAAACGAGGTTGGGATGCCCAAGTTCTTGGTGAAGCTCCACATAAGTTTACAAATGCTGTTGAGG